ACCGCATAACTTGTGAAGGAGTTATGTAAAAAGAGGAGTACATGAAAGTTTATCTGCCTGTGTTTCATCCCTAAGCTGTAAACAGAGACTGTGTAAGGTGTGAGAATCCGATCAACTCTGATCGAGATGGCATCTCATCGTGGTCCTGGAATGGCAGTCTTCAGGAAGAAGTGATGGCGCCCAAAACAACCAAGAAATTTCGAAGCGACTAAAACCTTTCAGATGTTTCATTATTTACCAACCCTTTCAGGAGACGAAGCGAACCAATATGACAATCGAAAGAGTCCATGTAGGAACAATAAAACTAAAAAGCCAAATAACAACTGAGTATCGAAATTTTCGCCCCTTCCCTGAGATTCACATTTAAAAGGGAAAGAAAAGACAGAAAGCCGAAACTTTGCAGGGATATTCTCTGTGCATGTGTGGCCTAAAGATTTCAAATTCAGCTATCACGCACGTGTGTACCGCATGTACGGTTATATTAATGTTCGCATTTGGCTGCGTGCCAATTCGAAAACTAGCTGGAAAACAGCAGCGCTAGAGAGATCAGCAAGCTGTAAGGCCAGCCTGTATTCTTTGGACAGACTTCCGGATCTGTATGAAAAATCCAAGTCGTCCAAACATGACTCACCTGTTCCGTTGCAATCCGAACACTGCACCTGCATTTGTTGAATCATTCCAGGGCCAAGTTTTCTCACAATATTCTTGATACCAGTACCGCGACAATCCGAGCAATCATGCGATGCTCCTTCCTTGCCACCACGACTGTAAATTTTGCTTATGCAATGAAAAACTTCGAGATTCAGGGCCCTTTCTAGCAAAAAACAGACCGAAGATCCGCTGTTTCCTACACAGAAGAAGGGAATCCGAATTATGGGAATAGTAGAGTAAGAAGATTGGAATTAGGTGTCATGTATAAGAAGACTCCAAGCCTTCCCTATATAAACTTATTTTCTTGCTTATACGGAATAAGACCATCCTCCGAATGGGAGGCTGTACTGATGATTCTCACTTAC